TTTCTCTTTGGATCTTGCTGACCAGTAACTTCAAGGCAATGTCTGCTAAACCCAAGCAGCCATTCACAGTCACTTCCTCTAGTAGAGGAACCCTTTCCTCCAGCATAATGAATAAACCTTATAACTCTATTCTCACTGTGAATATACTTCTTCACTATTTCCAGAAAAAATTTGATATGGACTAAGAAGACATACATAAATATGAAAAGAAATGTAAATAGAAACAGACATGTCATTCGAAAACAGTGATTCTCTACTGTATCTTTAAATGCCCCCGGGTATAATCTTCTCTAGCAGCCACAAAGTCTGTATATGTTTCTGTGATATCCTGGCCGCCCTCATCACCGCAGGTGGTCAGCTCTTTTGCCATTCTTCTTGTAGATGGACCATATTTCCTCTCTCTAGTTTTACACACCTGTTATCACTGTTTCTTCCTAAAATTTGGTAACTGATTTGAATCTTTCTTACCTGTTTACACCTGAAACTAACTTACGTTTTCACCTCTCTGGATTGGGCATCTCTGCAAATTGACCTGAGCTTTCTGTTGGGGAGTAGGCTTACCTTTAATAATCTGGCATGTGCTTTACTCAACCCAACAATTCTGCAAGATAAGTTCTAAAGAAACCCCTAGTCACACTCAGGGGCTAGCTACCTGCCCCATGGAGGAACTTATCTTTTCTTACTCCTTCTAACCTCTGGCCAGAACAGACACTCATCTACAATGACATTTTATAGAATGAGAGTTGTGAAAAGTTGAAAAATTATTTCCCATTTCTACCAGACAGCAGTATACTCTTTTGTGTCACAAACTCCATAATTTAGAAAGCTCAAATAATAGAAATCTATTTCAATAACAAATTCATCTAGTTATTAAGAAAGACAAAAGGGATGTACTTTTTAAATAAAGATGTGACAGGATTAGACACCAATGAAGATCATCAGAAATTTGAGGGGGAAAAAAGTGTATTTTTCCTTCTCAGTTAGCAATTAGACAGCTGTATTTTGCACAAGATAAAATTGATTCCAGGAATACAGTACTTAAGTTGCTTGAGCTAGAAATAGAATTCAATATGTTATGGGGAAAACATTTTTCTTGAGTGTCCATAAGACTATTTCAACCCATATCTGGCCTATATTTCAGGATCCATGACTAAGTGAATTTTTTTCCCTTTATCTGACTTTTATTTCCTCCCTCCCTCCCTCCCTCCCTCCCTTCCTTCCTTCCTTCCTTCCTTCCTTCCTTCCTTCCTTCCTTCCTTCCTTCCTTCCTTCCTTCCTTCCTCCCTTCCTTCCCTACTTACTTCTTTTCTCACTCTCTTTTTTCTTTTGCTCTTTTAGTCTTCTCCTTCCTTCCCTCCCCTCCCTTCCCTTCCTCCTCTCTTCCTTTATTCCTCTCTCCCTCCCTTCCTTCCGTTCTCCCTCTTTTTCTTCTTTCTTTATCTTTATTTTTCCTTCAACAAGACAAAATTTTAACAAAAACAGAAAAGAAAACCTAATGGTAAATACTAAAATCAATAAGAATGAGTAAAAAATTAGTTGAGGAAAGTGAAACAGGCAGTTAAGAATATGAGCTTTTCTCATATCTATCAAGCCCTCCGTCCATCTACCTAACTTTTTGTCTATGTATATATTTTCTCTAATAGAACATATAAGGACTGATTTAACTGAAACAATAATCTTTGAGCAACGTCCTTTAAATACTTTTAACACATTGCTCATGTTTTACTAACTCCATCAAAATAACATATTTATTTATCTTTGGAATTAATTAGTAAATGCAGAAAATTTTGGTGGCAATCAACATGGTCTCTGGAGCTAAGACTTGATGTTACACTCTGCTCAGATAAAAGTATTCAGGACAGTTTTATGCAATCATTGTAGTAAATATAGGATAATAATGAGTGCTTATACTATTGTTTGTCGTTCACTTCATGAGAAACTTTTTAAAAAGTAATGAGCGAGAAATAAGAGTATCTTCTGCCTTTTAAATTGGTCCATATCTAGGATAAATTTGAGACTGTGGAGGAAGAATTGGGGGTTCTGCATCAAGCCATTCTTTATAAAATCCCACAGAAAAATAAATATACACAGCATGTTGTATGAAAATTTCCCATTAGCATTTTATTGTAAGAATGATATAGCAATTATTCCTCCATTCATAATCCTCTGGGTCACTCCAGTTTGAGCAAGATTTTAATAATATATGTAAGAGCATTTTATCTGTGTTAGTAATATTATTGATCTAACACCATTAACATTTGCAGCATTTTTAAGACCCCATTACCTGCTTGCATAGTAGCCCTGTCTGGCAAAAACACATCACTTTGTCTGTTAAAGTTTGACAGACAGCAGCACAAAAAAAGCAATTTTACTTGCTACAGTGCATGTCTGGCTGCTTGATAATGTCAATCAATAAGTGAATTCACTTCCCTATGTTCTCTGGTAAACAAGATGTCTGCCCCATTTTGGATGCAAAGAAAAAGAAGCCAAGGTATGAGTAGATCAAAATAAAGTGTTTTGGATGGTATTTAATGAGCATTTGGGGGAAGATTGGGGGTTTGGTGGTAGAGATGCTGAAAATTATATCTTCTACAGAAAACACTGACTGAATAACCCATGGCAACAACATTATAGTGGCCTGGATAAAATTTTGAATGAAAAAAAGGTTTCTTTCTTTCTTTTTTTTTTTAATAATGTTTCTTTATTGGTTTTAGAGGGAGAGGAAAAAAGAAAAAAGATAGAAACATTGATGAGAAAACATCAATTGGCCACTTCCTGTATGCCCCTCACTGGGGATCCAGGCCCACAACCTGGGCATGTGCCCTGACCAGGAATTGAAGCAGTGATCTCTTGTTGCATGGGTCAATGCTCAACTACTGAGTCACACCAGCCAGGCAGTTTATTATTTTTTTCTTAATAGGGTTGTGATGGAAAGCCATTTGAAATGAAGTCAATTTTAAAACATTTAGAGGAAAATATACCATGTTTTTATAATTTTATCTGTTATCTATCTTACTATCTAATAAGCTTGGTAACTAAATGTTATTGAAAATTTTTGTCTGAATGTATGTTATCTAAATTTCTATTTCTACCTGGAGAATGAGAGGCATTATGAAGACAGTTTCTATTTTTAATAAAACTTTGTAGTGATTTAAAGCAATTAAAAAAGTTTCAAAGAAATGAAGGCATATTTAATATAGTGAGCTGGAGAGTTACAAGAGTAGTTACACCTCCGCAGTCCTGCTCACTGGGTTTGCCTCTAAGTAGACAAAGTTTGATTCATGATACATCCCTGCTAAGATCCCCAGTCTAATATTGATATAGATAAAATGAAAACTTGGACTTGGGGTCAAATTATTATAATAGTCATTTTTATGCCCCTCATCATGTTTACAAATTTATCACACCATTCACCTGAGCTGTCCTGGGATCAACATCTCTGTCCAGTTCCTCAGAGACAAATGCTTTCCCTTGATTTCTTTCTTACTCAGTTGTAGTCCCCATATTGGGGCCTCTGTTTTTTGTTTTATTCTAATGATTTCATGTATCTGATACTGCCCCCTTCAAAGAAATTAAAAATTAGAAAAAAAAATATGTGTGGATTCATAAAGGTCATACATTTTGTAAATACACAAGTATTTCAATTACTAAAATAATATAACCTAACAGCTTTTAGATATTAGTATGTGACTGGCATATTGGAATTTTGCCCTGAAAAGAAATGGAAAAGGGTTACAAAGATATCATTTCCAAAATAAATAAAATTTAAAGAGTTGAAGGAACCAAGAAGGGATGGTGAGACACTAAGAGACTGTCAGTGTCTTAATACATTGTTGACCGGCAATTTTACGTAGAAGTTATCTCATGTCACCGGCTATTTTTTTGTAATTGAGTATGAAAGTGAATCTAAATAAACTTCAGTAATCTTTATACATAATAAATTTAAATAAATCTTTGTATATTTTATACATATTATATATTTTATTTATTTTTATTTTTTTTATTTTTATTTTTTTGGAGAAAAAATTAAACCTTATTTATTTTTTAAAACCAGACCACTAGGAAAATATATCACAGTCATGAAACAGCAAACAGACAGGCTATATTATCATTTCAAGTAATAAGTTGGTAAAAAGACGACAAAGTCTTTATCAAAATGGTAAGGTGCCAGAGCTGGGTAAGAATACTGCATGTTGCAAAGGCCCCAGGCAAAAGTGGTATTTGGTAATGTGGGCTGCCCCTTTTGCTCAAAAGGAGCCACAGCTCACGTGAGTTGCTTACTTTTTCTCCCTTGAACTTCCTGTTGCCAAAGGATTGTCTCAGTAGGGCTCTGTTATTTGAGAGGGCTAAGTGAACAATACTGGGTTTAGGTTTCATTCCTGAAAACCAGGTTTTTCCCAAGTTTAGCACTTCATAACTCTTAATTAAGCAGCCAACAGTTCCTTTTTCACTGTTCATTCCTGATATTGGTATATAGCACAATCAAAACCCCCTTTCCCATCAAGGTAGAGTACCACTGCAAGACTGTCCTGTCAGTCTGCTGCAGACAGGCATACGGCCCATCATTGCAGCCAGTGAGAAGGAAGGTCTGCTTCCCGTATCAAGTGTGACACTGCCTCTCATGTCTTTGGAGGGTCTCCGGGCTGGAAGGTGTCATGTGTGAGAATGTAAGAAGTGCATATTCACATCTTGATGGACAGAAACAGATATCCAAAGGAATCTTTCAAAGTTCTTATCCAAACTACCTCTCCCAACTCCACATCTTAAATCAACTTCATGCTCTTGTATATAAAACAAAACCAAGCAAAACAAATATGCAGAAACTCTTTTTCCCCTTCTAAATTAGTGACATCGTGGATTTTGTTTTACAGTTTATGAAAAATGGTGTGGTAATGCTTCTGGTAAACAGGAGGTTGGCAACAAACAGAAACACATCTCCTCGCATTCCACTACATCGTTAGAGGAACCTGTCAGCCTGTTGGTATCTCTGAGGGCTCTGGCTTGGTGTGAGGGAAATGCCTGCTGCTAGGATAAGCATTTGCCACACAAAATTTAGGCTCTCAATAACTCTGAACCAAATTCTAGCACCAGTTTTTTTTCCATTTCACTTTCTAGGATTAAAACATAAAAGAACCAGTGTCCAGAGGCAAGCGACATGTGCCTTACACCTGCTGCATCCTTAATTTCTTCATCCATAAACTCTGCTTAAAAGACCAAAGTTCTCATTCTTCATTTTGAATAGCTTCCTGCCCTCAGCCTCTATAGCCAGTGGTAAACACTTCTATTTCTGAATGGATGAGAGAGACTCCTTCATCTTCTTGGTCATGGTTGGAATGAGGTTCATATGGTCATCCGCACACTTGGTCACACAACTCTCCAGCTGCCGCTTCACCTGAAGCTCTTTATTCCCTGCATCGATTGAATCTTTGGCTTTGTCGTTGCAATGCATGGTGCACCGGGCCAGGCGGTCCTGGAACTTCTCCAACTCGTTGGTAACCAGGGCCTGAGCTTGAGCCAGAGGCGCGTGGCAGCGCTCAATGCACTGGTGCACCTGCTGCATGGACGCCTGGTCCTCACAACAGCCAGCGCTGCACCGGAACATGAGGCCCTGCATCTTCCGGATATTCTCTCTCTCTAGACTCTTCACCATGGAGTCCACCGCCTCCTGCACCCGAAGGTGCTGCAGGTCCGCCTTGGCGACCCCGCGCTGCGCCGCGACGGCGCCCCCATATCATATATTTTAGTAAATTTTTTTGATGTGGTATACAGTATAGCAATCACCTACGTGTAACGGTACGCAACATGTTTTGCAAATATATCTGGTTTTGCTGCGCTTTCCTTTTGAAACACACACTGTACACGTTCTAGTTGGATTTTTTTTATACCAGTGACTATTTTTTTCTAAAACGTGGTATTTTAGTTGCCCTTAAAGACTAAAAGGTGAATCTATGTAAGGAGCTCTTTTAGAAGTACCAGAAGAAGCATTAGATTCTGAGCTGAACTCATTTGAACCAGCAGATATCCATTCCCTAGGTAATTCAAGTAGAAATATTTTGTATCTTATTTTATTTTGTCTATTGTAATTACAGTAAAGTTTGAATACATTGAAAAAAGTGCAACTGATCAGAAAGAACGCAACTTTTTTAGACCACTTTATTTTTCAAAAGATACTGCTTCCGCCAAATATTGGTCTGCTGAATCGACTCCTTTCATGTATTTGTTGTGGTCTAATATGCATGCAGGTTTAACTATATCTTCCGTAGAATTTCTTTTTTGCTTTCCAGTTGTTTTCATAAAGCCTTTGTGGATAGTTGATATCATATTCACTAGTCTTTTATCTTTCCATGATATAAGGACAATGGGTCCTTTCTGTAAAAATGTCATTTCCCCGCTCTGAAGATTCTTTGACTTTTCTTTTAGTACCTTTGGAAAGCCACGGTTTTTTCTTATGGTATCACAGATTAATGTTTTCTAATAATATTTCAGCTATAGAAACACTGTTGCAGTAAATTTCTTGGTATACAAGATGCCAAGAATCAAGATATGGCTCTAAGACAGATAATACAGTTTCTTGCAGACCTGCAGCCTTTTGCCTTCACCTGAATACATCTTGAAATTACAAATGTACTCACTCTTGCTTTCACAAAGATTCTCACTAAAATTCCATATTTTATTATTTTTGCCGAAGTATATGTTCAGAAGCTGATACGTCCTCTATAAGGTATCATTGCTTCATCTAGGGATAACTCCTGCTTAGGTACATACAAAGACTAAAATTTTGAAAGGAACTAATCCAAAAGAGGCCTAATATTATACAGTCTGTCTTCATTAAATGTATTTAGTGAATTATCACTAAAATGGGAAAATGTAAGAATTTACTCGAACCTCATTCTACTCTTAGTTTTAGGAAATATTGGAGCTTCAATCAACGAATCAATTGACCAGTAATCCCTCCAGTGTGATTTTTTTTGTTTGTCCCATTAATATCAACAAATCGAGAAACTTCTTTAAACTTTTGTCCATGGTACACTTTTAGTGGATTTTTTGTAAAATTGTTCCATATGGTGGTGATATAAATTGGTTTGAGAAACAACTAAATAAAAAAATCATCAGTAAAAAGTAATTTCCTCATTTCCCTGATGCTCCGTGGATCACTAAGGTCGGCAGTTATACCCGAAATATTTGAATAATCCTCCAAAGTTGGTGTAATATCATTTTCAATCCACTCTTCTTCAAAATCACTTTCACTATCAGATCTTATTACATTACTTTTTTTTTGTTTGTTTTAGTGGTCTAATATCCGACTCATGACTGTCTTCCGATAAACTATCAATTTCTACATCACTACAATATATTTGAAAATCACTGAGAAAATTAGATAAAGTGTCTGCAAATAATTCATTGATAAGTTCTTCACCTTCACTATCCGTCATGGTTGAAACTTTTGTAATACTGTAATTGTGATAAAAACCTAAATATCAAGAAAAATCACTTTTTTTGTAATAAACTGAACCAACAAAGAAAGATTTTACAATGTCCTTGATATGTATGTTCAAACTGCGAGTGGTTAGAAGATAGTCCAAGTTTAGACGGCTCGACACTGACCGTGTTTGTTTAGTCCCTTGGATATTGCGGCCTCGCGCCCGGAGGAGGGGGAAGAAAGGAGTCCGCGTGAGAATACACAAGTGTGCTGGTTTTCAAACTTCGACCCTCAGGGCGAGGAGTCACAAATACAATAATGCTACATTACCCCGAGTTTCAAAAATTGAGATAGCTAATGCGAGAGCAAACACGAGTTACCTCGTGATTCGTCAATAACGTTTGGGCATGAAAATACGAGTTAACTCGTGAGCAATCAACAATGGGTTTAACATGGGGAAACATAGGAAGCAAAGGAGAGACCACAGGTCAGTGAGCGCTGGAGCAGGGAAGAGGGAGCTCCTGGCACGAATCCTAACCTTGGAAGAATTCAGGCATTGCCATCAGGAAAAAATACATTTTAAACCTTTTCTCCTATTCTGCAATCCTGTGTATAAGGTCCCCTTTAACCTAACAAAGAGTCAAAGGTCACAGGGGCCCAGACTGTTCAGTGCATAAAGGTCAGCATGCTGAGACATGGAACTGTAAAGAGAAAGGCAGAGAAGGACTGTGAGTATTTAGGGGAAATGGAGAAAACCCTGCATAATGCTTTCCCTCTGTCAAATGCCACCATAGCCTTATGATTATCCCATATTTCAATTCAGAAAATCCAGAGTCAGAGTGGAACTTGGGTTCAACTGGGGATCAACTAGTGGTGCTCAGGTTCAAGTCCAGCCTGCCCTACCCCCTCCACCCCCCACCAAGACACATACACACACACAGTTTCTTTAAAAAGATTTAAAAAAAAAAAGATTGGGATACTGTCAGTTGAACAAAAAACATTCACTAGTTTTAGGAAAGTTTTGAAATAAAGAACTTTGCAGTTCACAAACACTTTGAACAGTATTGCAATTGATTTTCACAGCCTTACTATTATCAGGCATGGGAAGGAGATTTATCCCTACATATGGACGAAGGAAATTTAACTCAAAGAAACCAAGGAGTTTGTTTCCAGTCATGGGATCCGTGTCAGAACTTGTACTCTAGTTAGGGCAGCCCAGGCTTTATTCCAGTGTCCCCCACTATAGCACATCACTCAACATGGCTTGTGCATCAAAAGAAGAAGCATTTTATTACTCATAGTATTATATTCCTGTAGTTACTGGCAGGCAATAAATGTATGAGTTGCTTCACATAGCTGTAAACCCTATTTTCATAATGTTTATGCATTTTGATTTGTAGATAATTCCTCAACCTACAAAGCCAATATTAGTATATTATTAGCTGATCCCACAGTACAACTGATGATGACCTTTTCAAGAATTGAGATAAGTTGACGAGAGCAACCCCATGCAAAATAATAAAGGTCACAGATTTTATCATTTAATTTCATAATGCAGATGTCAAATAAAGCATACTTAATAAAGTGTATGTTTTGAGAAAGAGAACACCATGAATTACATTAGTTTCACTGCCACAATAAATTTTGGTAAATATTCTCTACATGACACAAACTTTGAGGATTATTCTCTACAAAAAGTGGGACTTCTAATGTGGAAGGGCTGGCCTGGCCTTCAGGGTCTCAGCTTTCATACGAGAAATGCCTTTATCCCCATCCTCACTCTCATCCTGTGTCTGACCTAGCTGCACCCTGAGAATGTGAATAGTTCCACTGCCTCAGTTATATTTTTGCTTCATAGTAAATCAAAATAATAATGCTTTATTATTTCTTATAATTCTGTAGGATGGTAGAAATTCAGCTAGATGATTCTGTTCTACTCTCACTACATTTGGGGATTCATCCTTGGCTTCATCCATCTGCGAACTTGGCCAGGTCTGTAATGTCTAAGATGGCCTCACTCACATATCTGAGACACAGTTGCAGCCAGCCAGCTGGGGCGTTGTCCTTGTCCATGTGACCTTTCTCACTCCTTCTCCACATGGCCTTTCATCATTCAGTGGACTACATGGTGACTGGTTTTCAAGAGAACAAAATCAGAAGCTCCCTAACCCAATTCTGGGCTAAACCAGAATTGGCACAATGTTACTGTGGCCACATTCTATGGTCCAACAAGTTATAAAGCCAGAAATAGGCCCCTTCTTCTCTCTCTACCGCACATTGTCAGAAGTGACTAAAATCCCTAGTGGTTTTACTGCTTACTCATTATCCCCTTCCCCTATTATTGCTTTGATGTCAAATGGTTTCACCTTTCTTTTTCACCTCCCAAACTGTGAGGGTAACAATAGCTCCTTCTTTATACTAATCTCTTGGTTACCTCATTGGTGACTCTTGTTCTGTCAGCATTTTACACACTTTTGCAATAAGTCATAAATAATGAATTCCTAGTATGGATCTAGCATGGATTCTCTTTCCTAACTGGTGCATTGTTCAAGGTCAGTCAAAATAGCCAAGCATGTGGCTGAGTCAGACTTATTTTCTTTAGAATCTAGAGCATACTTCCAGAGTTCTTGCTTTTACTTTTTATTTGATGATCATGATGTTTATAGATGTTAATTTTCTTCTTGCTTTCTTCAATTAGATGTTAAGGTCTATAAGAACACAGCTTTAGATATTTTATCTTTATGTTCCCAGTGCCTAACCACATGTTACTCACCAGTCAGATCTTGAGAAGCTACTTATCACTTTGTAATGCACAAGAATTCCTGGTTGTAAGATCACATATCTGATCTAGTCACCTAATTTTTATATCAGTCCTGGGAAGACAGAGCCCTTGCCAAGTATCTGATTGCAGTAGGCACAGACACAGAAGGCCTCTTGCTCAACATCAATTCAATGTCTGGTGGCCTGCTATTTTAGACAAATATTCCACAGACTTGATGCCTGCATATTATATTCTCAATATGTTAATCCTTTATTCCCAGTTGTTGCTATCTATAAACTCATTGAATCTAAGATAATTATCAATACTTTTCAAAAATTTAACTTGAACACAGTGTCATATCTAGAAATCTTTCATTAAGCTTAACTTGTTGAAAAGAATACCAAGATGGACAATAGTGAAGATAGATTTGAATTGACAAAGCAAGAAAAGGTATGTACTTTTAATGTTCATGGAGAGTATTTTAAAGATCTTTGATCATGATAACATTAAACATTTGCTGCATGTTAAGGAAAATGCTGTTACATTCAACAATCTTTAGAAAAAGTGTTATATGTTAAAGGAATGTTAATTGTCATGTATTTTATTAAATATTTAAACCACAATATTTTATAAACTAGTTCATCTTATAAGAACATTATTATAAATCAAGTAAACTAGGGCATTGCTTTACACTTAAATCATAGACAGTTTAAGGGAGCTTATTTAAAACAGATTTTAGCCCTGGCCAATTTGGCTCAGCAGTTACAGCGTCAGCCCACAGACCAGAGAGTCCTGGGTTTGTTCCCACTAGGGGCAGTTTTTCCCTGTCCCCAACACATCGATCTCTCTCTCTCGCTCTTCCTCCTGCTTTATCTCAAGATAAATGCAAAAAAAAAAAAAAAAAAGTCCTCGGGTGAGGATAAAAAAATAAATAAATAAAACAGATTAACAGATTCAGTTCTCATTTTAAAAAATTATATAAATATAAAACTATTTAAATTTATTCATATTATCTCAAGCTCTGGAATAAATATTCTCTATCAATATTCTGGAATAGTACTGTAGTTGGTTGTGCTAAGAGTTTTGTCTTTTGAAGAAATTTTGTTTTTATAAAACAAGCTCAGGTACAGATCTTTCCTTTAGAAATAAAGATGATCCCATCTTGAATACAAACCAAGAGAGAAAACGTATTTGTCTACACATTGTATTTAACTAGTGTATTTATAATGATCAATAGAGTTAAAATGAGAAAAATAAATCCACTGGCATATTTTGATAGACAGTAGCTTCAGGTGACAGCATTCTCATTACTAATTAAACCTAGATGAGAACAGAATAAACCAATTTAATAATAACTTCAATGTCTCTGTCTCTCTCTTTTCTATTTCTGTTCCTCTCTTCTTCCAACACTGCCGAAATACCTGTTTCACCTAAAAAGTAAAACTGGACTACTAACTTTTCATTAATGTGGTTCCTTCATTACTCTTGTAATAACTAAGGTGTTTCTAAATCACAGATTGAGATGGACCCCCTAATTAAATACTAATTAACTTTGACAGCTGCAAGTCAGCCAACAATGTTCCTAAATTGTGACTTACTATTTTCAATAAGATACTGACCACAGTTTTTTTAAACAGATTAGTAACAGAGAATTTTTTCTTTAATTGTGAAATATCAAGTAAACAGGAAAGACTTATATTAAAACATTATCATGGACTCTAAACTTCTCAAGGAGCTGAACACTCAAAGCCATTAAAGAGAAAATGTCCTATCAATTTGAATGACAGTAATAGCTTGGCACAACCATTAGTACAATACTAGTATATGAATCCATTAAATTATTTCCACATATTTATTAATACTCTGAATCCATATATCTATTAATACAATTTAATGATACTATAAATAGCATTCAATATTTTTAAAACTTTAATAAAGAGGAAATTTAAAAATAATTATATGTAGTTTTTGCGTTTTTTCTGGTCCAATCACAATAAAAAGATATTAACATGAAACTACCACCCTACAGATGAATATAATTATTTTCTGTACAATCCAGGAAATATCCTGGAAGGTGAGCTGATAAAATAACTTATCTAGGATTAAGGTTTTAGTTCTAGGAAATCAATATTTGAGTTGCATTTTCATGAAATCTCAGTCATTTACTGTCTTTGTGCCTGAGCTTTTGTTTCATTTATAAAATGAGGATGATAGCATCTACTTCACAGAGTAATTATTACAACTGTAAACACCATTTAGGACTTAACACATTTCTTGGAACATTGGAAGCTCTTAATAAATATCAACTCTTTGTAGTATTATCATCTCTCAGGTCCTCACAACGACCCCCGGGATAGACTTAGCTCCATCTTGCAGGAAAAATAAACTGAAATTAGCTTCTCCACCTAGTGCCTGACAGCATAAACACATAGCAACTTCAACAACAGTAAAATAGCATTTTATTTGCCTACTGTGTGTGTGTTTTTTTTTTTTTTTTCTTCTGACTCTTCCCCTATGTAATGGCTGGGTCAGACCATGTATAAAGGTAGCTAGTAAAGCTAGTAGAATAAAGTTATGACAGGGGCTGGAGCCTCTGCAGACAGGGCACTTATACCAAGTGGCTGGGATGTGCCAATATTTGACCCATCTCAGCTTTATCAGGAGGTTAAAGCTGAAGAAGCCACGTGAGGCAGCAGATCTCTGAAGTGGTTCTGTGGCTTTCAATATGGCTTATGATCGTTTGTCTCACTGATGATTTGGTTTTATTAAGGAAAGAAATGCAGGCCCTTGCTTTTGTGCTTGAATCTGGCCCCTGCTACTTTCCCGACTTCAGCGTTGAAATTATTCCATTGTGATACTTAGAGCATTGAGGGGCACAGGGAGATTGAAGACCTGTCTAAGTCCCTCTCTGATAAAAGGACATTATGGCTACTGTTCCTGTAGTATCATCCAATAACAAGTGACTGGTTTTGATTTTTCTGTCTTACCTCAGAGCCAATGTACATAAGTCAGCTTCTGTCCTTATTTTTATTTGTAACATGCTTTGAAAAATGTCACACAACATTACATTCAACCAGGAACTGTTTATTTTACACACACACAGCTTAAAATGCCTAAAGTGTATCTGTAGGATTTATTTCCAAATCTGAGGTTAAAAATAAATTAGAGCCCTGGCTGGTCTGACTCAGTGGTAGAGCATTGGCCCGCAGACCAATGAGTCACAGGTTCAATTCTGGTCAAGGGCAAGTACCTCAGTTGTGGTTCACCGCCCCCCCCCCCCCCGCCCCCCCGGACCTGGTCAGGGTCGTGTGGAAGGCAACCAGTCAATGTGTCCCTCTCACACAGACATTTCTCTCTACTGCCCTTTTTCTCCCTCTCTATCTGAAGATAAATGGAAAAATATCCTCAGGTGAGGATTAAAATAAAATAAATTAGAAAAAAATATATTATTCATTGCCACTGATAATGATTGTCTGCATTAATAGATATATTTTTTTTCTCTTTTTCAAAAACATGTACATAATGTGATTCAGCAGGTAGTCTTGGAAAATTCAAGGGATCGATATAGTTACAACTTCTTCAAATACAGTTAATGTGTGGTCACTGGCCTCTCAAGTCTTGAGTATCCCCATACGTCGTAAAGCATATGCATTAAGTTCTTTGGCAAAAGGAATGAGAGAGCTTTGTGACATAGTTTGATATCAATGTGGTTTATTGTCGTTATTTATTGTTTTCTACTTGCAATTTAAATGTATGGCAAGAAGCTGGTGTTTTTTAGTTGTAACGAGGCTGTCTGGTGTTTTTCTGGCTTAGAGGTGAATGTTACATTACCCCTGACCTTCACCATGCTTCTGCAAGAATTCATATTTTTTATATGTCACCCTCTGGGGTAACTTAAGAAGAAAATTCAGAGAAAAGGTTATATTCTGGGCGGACAGAGTGCCTCTGTCTAAAAGGAGACTTCATTTATTTCTACATTATGCTGTTTTATTTGAAAAGGGATGTTTAGGTGATATTTGCTTGCTTTTTGTTTTACTTGTGAGAAAATTCACATACCATAGATAAGCAGGTCAGTAGAAGGTCTCAAAGATTTTAAAATAATTTCCAAGTCTGTTAGTAAAAAATTTGTAAGGCATTTTGTTTGTTTTCTATGAAGAACTACTTATTGATTAAATTATTAAATCAGTATTTCAATGGGATTTTTTAAAGAAACCT